TATGATCTCCAAGTGGTGCGCCAAAACACCACGCCGCACTTGCAAAGCGATGGGCGGAGCGTCGGTGAGAGGAGGCGGGAATCAAAGTACGCAAACACCGAGTCTCACTTTTTTTATTCCGACAATACACAGAAACACCAACAGCATCTCCACCACCACCTTTTTCGGTATGATAAATTTCTCAGCCTAAAGATAAAAGAACAAATCTACTTGAATACCAAATACCTTACATACTTGGCCTTGAAGCAACCTTTGAGACACTTTATTATGAGAAACCGTTGATATATTTTATCCTTATTACTTTTTCATGCATATAACTTTTTTCCCAAGAAATTTCTTTTGTTTTTTAACGTCCCGGTATATTGTTTTTCAAAAAATTCATTAAAAAAAGAGTATGTAATGAAATTTCAAAAATTAAAAAAGAATCATGAAAAAATATTTTCATTACAAAAAAGCAATCCAAAAGTCATCCAATACTCAAAAGCTGAATCTCTTCACAAGCATTGCTCATCTTCACACCCTGAAAAACACGAGAATCGGGTCAAGGCCCCAAAATCGCGTCAAGACACTGAAAAATCGTGAATTCCCTGAAAACATTAACATAACAAATTTAAAACAACTTATTGAGCACTTTTAGTGCTTTTACGCATTTTCAGTGCCTTGGCGCATTTTTCGTGACTGACGAAACTCCGAATCGCTCTCAATTTCTTCTACCTCTTCCGCATCATTCCACATCTTCTGGTCCCACTTCGTAAAACTTTGGATTCCGACAAGCCAATTCATCTTCAAATGGCGCAGTCACATAAATCGGCAAAAACGGAAATTCTCCAATTTGCCAAATTCCAACGGATGTTCCCATTTTCGAATCTTCAGGGCACCAAGTTCCCATAGCGTATATTTCATTTTCCAGCCAAGCACGAGTACCCTCCGGACAGGAGAAACTGAATCTGAAAAAGCACGAAAATTGCGTCAACGCACGAAGAATGCGCCAAGATACGAAAGGTGTGTCAAGGCACCAAAAATGCATCAATCCATCACAATGTGCTAAAGCACCGAAAATGCGTCAAGGAACGAAAAATGATTCAAGACACAAAAAATGCGTAAAGACACGACAAATCACTATATAGTATATATAGTATATAGTATATATAGTATAGTATAGTATAGTATATATAGTATAGTATAGTAGTATAGTATATACATCAAATGACCAATTTGGAGTAATTTATTGAGTTAAAAGCGCACACTTCTTGCATTGGCGCCTTTTCCGTGACCTGACGCATAACACGTGCATGGAAACTTTGTTTTCGAAATTTCGGTTTTTATAGCAAAACACGGCACGAGAAATGTGTCAAAGCGCGACTCTCGCCTTGACGCATTTTTGGTGCCTTGACACATTTTCAGTGCTTCCGCGCATTTTTAATGCCTTAACACATTTTGAGTGCCTTGACGCGTTTTCTGTGCCTTATCCCATTTTCCGTGCATTGACGCATTTTTGGTGCCTTGGCACATTTTCAGTGAATTTGCGCATTTTCGGCGCATCCACTTACGTGCAAACCTTCCCTGGAACGTTTTTCATTTTCGTTAATTTATAAACCACATTTGCCTCTTTCGCTGTTAGACAAGAATCCAAATTTCCATTATCCAAGCCTGGACAAGTCAAGTTATACGCTGGTTTACAGACTTTACAAGCTGAAATTCAATAAATTCAAGATTACTGTAAAATTACTGTAGCATACGAAAAGGTTTTTCGCGTTTTTCTGTTGGACAGGAATCGGCGGCCAAAAAAATGCCAGCAAGGAAAAATAGGAATTTCAGAAAAATCATTTTTGAGAATATTATTTGGAAAATTTGTTTTTTATATTCAAAAGTTTTGTTGACTTTCCCATAAAAATTTTATTAGGTCAGACAGGAAAGTAAATATGAAACTTTTTATTCGAAAAAAAAATGTGTATGGGTTTGAAAAAACTTGATAAACAAAGTTCAAAATACAGCAAAGTTTCGAGGGCACGAGAAATGCGTCAACGCACTGAAAATGTGTCAAGACGCCGAAATAGCGCCAAGGCACAAAAAGGTGTGATTTATTGAATGACTTTTAGTGCTCTGACGCGTTTTTGGTACCTTGGCGTATTTTCGGTGCCTTGGCGCATCCTTGGTGCTTCGACACAAATAGACAAGAATTCAAGAATTAGAAAATAATTATTCATTCACGTAAGAAAAAATTAAAAATCCGAAAATCTAAATCTGGAAATTCAGGAATTCTGAAGTTCCAGATGGTTCTGTTTTGAGGGATTCTTCTAATACACATAAACTGTCTTGATTCACTCCGCCTTCGAATTTACACATTGATCCAGGTTCCGCGTATTCGTAGACATCAGTAAAGGCTTGAAAAGTGAATCGAGATCTGAAAAATCACAAAAATGGTTCAAGGAACTGAAAATGCGCCAAAGATCGAGAAATGCGTCAAGGTACCGAGAAACGCGTCAAGGCACGTGAAATGCGCCAAGGCAAGATTAGAGCGCTGTTAACTCAACGATTTGCTCGAAATTAGTCGTTTTATGTTTTTAGAGCCTTGACGCCTCTTCGGCGCCTCGACACATTCTCGGTGCGTTGGCACATTTCTCGTGAGCAGCTTCAATTCACCGTGTCATCTCTCTTGCTAACACAACTTTGGTTCCCTAACGCGTTTTTGGTGCCTTGGCGCACTTTTCGTGCCTTGACGCATTTTTCGTCTCTTGGCGCATTTTTGGTGCATTGGTGCATTTTCAGTGCCTTGACGCATTTTCTGACTCACTGTGGTCCGATCAAACAAATTTCATTGAATCCACCGACTTTTTCCGTTTTATCCTCATTTCTCGGTTCGAAATCATCCCACGGTGTTCTATAATTTTCACATCTATACGGTCCACATCCAATGTATTTTTGCTCTTCCAGAAGCGTCTCCACAAAATTTATCGATACGTTTCCGTAATTTTTTTTCCATTGGTTGAAGATCTTCCTCATAATAGAAAAATGAAATAAACCACCAAGCTTCATTTTCATAATGCGGATGACTCCGATTATTCGGAAAGAAGAAACGATATCCGTTTTTCGGAGTTCAGGATTGGCATTCTTCTGGGCGAAGCTCCTTGATGTTTTCCACTAACAAAAATTTGAAAAATCTTCGATGAGCCCATGAGCATATTTGTGAATTTCTTCAAAAATTAAATGTCTGTTTTTATTCTGGAAAATGCCTATTCATAACGAGAAACTCCCGAAAAACATGTTTAAAATGCGTAAATTTTATTCCAGAGCCAGTTATGGCAGCTTAAAATAAAACAAAAAAAAATTTTGCAAAATTTTTGAAATAGGGAGAATCGAACCTACAACCTTCCTCCTCTGGACTTGCCATTTTACCACTTTACCACACTGCTGATTGAAATCTATTGTTTTAAAAGAAATACACTATACCGTGAAAAAAATTTCACGAGAAATTGCTTAATCATAGGGAAACTTTTCTAGGTCATAACTCAGCTCACGTGAGCATTTTGCTGATTTTTTTTAAACAGATTTTGAATCCTCATAAATGAATAATAGTGGATAATAACAAATCTTTTTCCGAAATTCTGACAGCAGCAGGCTTTTAGATCCGTTTTGTAGAGCTCATCATTTTACTAAGAACCCTATGTGTGAAGAAGTTTTGTTTAAGTTTAGACTTTGGAGTTTTCCATTGGTAGGTGTGGCGGCTGCGCGTTTTTGTCGATCTAATTTTGAAATATGATAAATGATTTATATTAATTTTACCTAGAATGAGTTTGTTGAAGAATTTCATATCAAGCTTTTCCCTTTTTAGTTGAATTCAAGACAAGAAAATGTTTTAGATCACAGGATAATAGTCGATTTTTGAAAGCCGCTGACGAGGGCTTCACCGGAAACACTTTGGCGGGTAAAGAGTTCCAACATCTGATTACTCTAGAGAAATTGAGATGATATTTTTGTTGAGTTTTTGATAAGTGATTTGAGATAGTATTTGTGACGTCGCAATGATCCAGCATGATTAAATATTTCGAAAATTGGAACCTCCATGATAATTTCTTTGGAAACAATAATTTTATACGTTTAGACCAAATCATTATAGAGCCTGCGATACTCCAAGGAACTTAGCTGACATTCTTCCAGTGCTTCAAAGTATGAAGTGTATGCCATCCTGAATTTTTGGAAAATTCTGAAAACAAGAAACCCTAAGATAAAGTGACGCAACTTCATTTATTGATTATAAGAAGTAAGAATGATGTTTTTTAATATGCACGAAAAAATTCAACAGTTCAAAGCCCCATTTCTTTTCAGGAATGGAGCACGGCGCTGGCGAAAAAGATCAATGATTTGCCAAAAGACTGTAAAAAACTCAGCCGAAATGACTATAGTTTTTTCCGGATGAAAAATGATCTTAATGACGCGGCATGGTTAAAATGGGAAGAGGAAGAGCATGTCTACAAAATACGTCAATTCCGATATTCCAGGCAATAATAAAACTATGGATTTTGAAGCCATTTGCTTGTTTGGCCCATTGTAAGATTTTTCGAATATCTGTCTAAAATTAATTTGTATTTTTCTCCTATTTGAGAGTCGAGATCGAAACATCCTTGGGACTGAAAAATGGAGATGCGGGATCCAAATGTGAAGAGGAAGGAGGAAAAAACGAGAATGGGCTTTGTGTTCCGAAAGACTCTCCTTCAAGCTCAAATGGAGTTCATACGAGCTCAACTAATTTGAACAGAAAAATTCCAATTTTGGCTCTTATCGTTTGCTGTTATCTTAACTCTTTCAAACAGTAGTTGTGTAGTGCTTCTTATTGAATGTATGGTAATATAATAGTGTATTACATGATAAAATGAATTCGGGTTGATGGATTTCTGAAAAAAAGTTCATGAGCTTGGCGTGTTTTCAATGACTGGACATTCCAGGAATCCAGTTACAAATTGAAGTATTATTTTTGATTGGAAACTTGACAGCCGAGCTCCCAAACTCCTGAAAATTGTCAAAAAGCAGAAAACCAACTGAAAAACACGCGTTTGTATATACTATGAACCGGTACTGTATATGCTGTAATATGACTTTAAAGTTTGAGCTCAATTATATCGATTCCTGTAAAAGATATAAAAAATCTGTCAACTGATAAAATCTTTGTCGTGTTATCATTCACATTTTATCAGTTAACAAAATTTTGATACCTCTTACATGAACCGATATAATGAAGCTCAAAGTGTTTACGTACAGTAAATTATTTTTCCCAAAAAAAATTTTACATGCTGCTTTCTGTTTCTTGCATACTGAAGACTTTATTGGGAAAAATTTTTTCACAATTAGAATTTTCTGAAAAATCGTTCTTGCTATACGTCCTCACAATCAGATGCAGGAAGAAAGACTACGATTCTTATCTTTTGAAAAATCCCAAATTTCTGGAGATTTGAATCTCCGCGTCATTCACCTTTTCTGGATCAGGACATGCGGACTTGTGGAGATTAGAATCTGTTTTGGATTCGTCTTCCTACGAAATATTGCAAACAGATTTTGTTTGGTGAGCTGATTTTCACATTTTTGGACACTTTTTACTGTAGTCGCGGTTTTTTTTTTGAAAATTTAATTTTTTAAATTTTCAAGTCAATTATTTGAAATCTTTATAGTGAATTAGGCTAAACCTGCTTTTATTGACATTTTTAAAATTTTTTTAGATTCACAAATTCTAAATTTTTCAGATGTTCCGACTGGGTAGTGCCACTCGTTTATCACCGTCTTGTGTCAGATTTATCCCACTTTTCGCCGTTATTTTTTTACTAGTAATTTCATTTACTGTGTGAGTTTTGAATTTCAAAAAATAATTTTAATTTAATATTTCAATACCGTAATCACTCTTATAGAAAGCCACCCGGACCGTCCACTTTGAGCTTATATATCTCCCTTTTTTGGGAGATTTCAAACATTCGTCAACTAACAAAATGTTTATCATAATATCAACAACATTTTATCAGTTAACCACTTTTTGATATCTCTCACAGAAAATGAGATACATGGCCTCAAATTTGACTAATCGGGTGGCGTTCTATTAGAGTGTTTACGGTATTTCAATATTTCGATATTAGAAAAGCCTATTATAAGGAATTTATAAAGTATCACCTTACTAATCTTTGAGCTTAATCATCTCAATTTCTGTAAGAGATGTCAAATATTTGTCAACTACAAAAATTTTGGGGATAATATGATAAATATGTTATCAGTTGACCACTTATCGATATCTTTTACAGGAAATGAGATAATTGAGCTCAAGCTTACGATAGATAATTTCGTTGAAAAAAATGAATTAGTAGTCATACTTTAAAAATTAAAGCTTTAAAAAGAGCTAAATTAATGACATGAAGACAAGTTCAGTAAAGTTTTTAAAAATCAGAATTTCCAGATTCAAATCCAGTGGAATTGAAAAGTATCAAGAGCGCACAAATGCTCCATATGTGTATATCAATCATCGAGTTGATTATCGGAGCCAGATTTGAATGAGTATAGTGTCAAAACGCATAAAGGATATGTTTCGTTAAATGAGCTTAATGAGAAGGTAATTAACTAGCTAATTAAATCAAAATTTTGACTTCAAAAAATATGACTTGACGTAAAACCTGTAGTAGAAGGAACCTCTATCTGTCCACTTTGAGCTTAATTATCTCGATTTCTGTGGAAGATATAAAAAGTTGGTCAACTGATAAACTGTTTATCATAATATTACCTACATTTTTTAGTTAACAAAAGTTTGATATCTTCCACAGGAATCGAGGTAATTGAGCTCGAAGTTAATATTAACTTAAAAATGAACTTCCAGGTCTACCGTCCATTTGGATATGAAATTTCAAAGCCAACACTTCCGGTACCAACACTAAAAATGCTCAATGAGCCTACTTGTGAATTGGTGTTCTCCGAATGGCTCAGAATATCACAAGAGCCACAAACTGATATTCCACAAAAAGAAATTCCGATTCGACAAACTGATCAATTTTTGTTGAATGGTTATGCTGCGCTGGGTTCGGTTAGTTTTAAAATAATTCGAAAAACTGAAGGATTTTCAAACAATTTTTTGAAATTTTAAAGGTGGGGGGACAGGAGATTTTTCGTAGTTTTTTTGTAGCTAGAGTATGCATTCTACCGTGACGGTGTACAACGCTTAATGTCACTCTGCGTACAGCTGTCGTCCTCGCCTTTATGTATGCAATCGGGCGTGCGCTTTCTCTTTGCCCGCGTGGCTCAGTCGGTAGCGGCGCCGCACCCTCAATCATCGCCTTCACAAGTTCAACTCCTCGATGGGGCATCTTTGAACGGAATTTCGAGAACATTATTTTTTTTCATGTCCCCCCACCTTTAAACGTTTAAAAAAATTCTTTAAATTTTCGAATATTAGAGTTTTCGGATTGTTTTCATGAAAATTGTTTTAATTCTGAAAAATCGGAAACACCTGTAATTGAATTGGTTGATTAAAGTATGACCTCCCACCAGTACAAAGTGGGGGCCTATACTTGAATAGCCTGGTATTCTTAAAATATGACTCCCCCCCTGCCTTCTAAATATTTTATTAAATTTCGAAAAAGTAAATTATAAAGCTTTTTTTTCAAAGTTTCCTGAGTACCATGGTGTACTGTGTCAGTCCGAAAACTCCTTTGAAATGTAGTCGTGCGGAATTGAGGTCAAATGATTCAGAATTCTCTCCGGAATACGTTGCCAGCCATTCGAAACCGTAGAACATCATGGCTAGACGGATGGACCCATAGATTCTATGGGCATTGAATTGTATGGCGTCGGTACCATATGGCATACCGAGGAATAGGAGTCCTGGAAATTTAAAAAATACATATTTTCGATTTTTTTTGAACATTTGAACAAAATGTGTG